AGCTGGAGAGCAGCCCAAGGTGCAGCAGCATGCTGACATGTGTGTGAGTCTGTGCAGGACCTGGGGTGCTCAGCCTGCCCCTGCTTCGACAGTGGGAGTCCAACACCACCCAAAAGAGGCAAGTGTAGAAGTGCTGCTGAGGAACATGCAAGGCTTGACATATGCATCCAAATGGGCTCAGTCTGGCCCTGGGCTGGGGTCAGCTTCTTTCTCCCTCTGCTGCTAAGCAGATCCAAAGCGTTTCTCTGTACAGTTCCCACACATTACTCCACAAAGGAGCGAGAGGGGTATGATTGCCAGCAAAGCCAGAAGCACTAGTGGAGGAGGGGGCTCGTGCTGGAAGAGCTGATGATTTTTCAAAGCATTGAGGATGTTGGTATCACAAACAGGAGAGCATAAGGGTTTGCTCAGTGCTGCATTGCTACTAGCTGTGGAATAGGTCATCAGGACCTACAAGGACCACTCAAAAGACTCAAGAGCAGCTCAGCTGCTCAGCTCCAACAGGCTCATGACACAAGAATGCCACCCCTGCAATGCAAAGACTATTCCCTCTGAGCTAGAGAGAGCAAGCAGAGCATCCTCAGGAGCCAGACACGATGCCTGCAGCCATGCAGCAGTGGGTGTCAAAGGTGGACAGGTGAGGGTCCCTGAAGAGTAATCACGTTGGCACATTGCAGCAGGTCTCCTTCCACACAGTCTGGAAACTTAGGGGCTCTGGGACAGGCTCAAAGAAAAACCTCCAGCCAGCCCTGGACAGTGTTTCTGATCCCTTCTGGGATGTTTCTGAGTGAGGAATAGATGAACGTCTGACCAAAAGTGAATGCTTCCAAGCTGGAGACTCTGGTGGACGAGAAGGAAAACGCTGCAGTCAGAACTACAGCAATTGCTGATGGCACACTGAAAGCATGTAGATCCAAACACGTCCATGGAAAGCATGTCCATGTCCGAGCAAGGTCACCGTCTTGTTACAGTCATCTCTGAGACTCAAGCTGGCGAGACCTCAATTGCTCAGGGTGAACACGCTCGCTTTTAACACTGCCATTGGGAACACAGGGCAGACAGTTACTAAACATCTACGCATGATGCACAGAAAGAAAACCTGTTATCAAGGGTGATGTCATTTGCAGAACATTTGGTGCCACAAATTGGAGTTTCTGCAAGTAATAGATGGTCATTTCCTAGCAGACAAATCCTGGATCAATCTAGGATTCAGTACCGGATCTCATCCCAATGGCCAAAGACAGGTTAATCGTGGCCCAAAGACTGGTGGCTAGCACACTATTGGAGTAACAGGTTCTCTGTCTGCAGCCAGACAGTATCACCACCAGCAAAGTGTTTGATCCCTACATATATATATATGTATATTTGGCCTGCACTAGAAAGACAAAAAGTGATTTTCTGCACAAGAAGCTAGGAATGCACATTTAAAGGCACAAGATTAACAAAGTTTGGATTCTTCTCAGATATCACTGGCTGGCCCCAAACTGTTGTATTGGAAACATGACAAAAATTACCTTGAGGGAAAAAGAGAGAAGGAAATTCCAATTTCAGTTAAGAAATGGGATTAGGAATAGCGTATTAGCACCTAGAGAGAGAGGGAGTGGGGACAGAGAAATGGGAAATGAAACACAGCTCGTGCATACTACATTCAGCAAAAATGTAGACAACTGAGAAAGAAAACTAAAAGATTCAATGCAGAAATGATCACCCCTGAGGGCAGGATCAGAAGAAGGCATTTTAATCCCATTAGGAGAAAGAACTCTCAATATACCATCTTGCTGGAAGTGGAAATGCATTTGCAGGAACTGCATGTGCTGGACCCTGGCACGCATGTTCTGCAAACCTGATCCAGGGCAACAGAAACCTCCAACCAAATGGGAAGATTCCTCCTTCCAGTGACCGGAAAGGAAAATTGGCACTGCAGCAGGGACAGATTGGGGCAGCTCTTGTTTAACAGGACAATTTTCATCTCAGCAAGCCCTGGTCCCTTGCGCCTGCCAGCTGGGAAGAAGCGATGGTCGTTAGAGGAGAGCAGCCTGCAGGGAAGCCAAGGAGCGCTGCGGCTTGGGAAGGCGGCCAGCACCTCCAGTGAGGCAAGGGGCTCACCGGGGCAAGAGATCACACTGGGAACAGGGAATTAGATCCTCGCAGTGGCTCTGTGGGCCCTTGCAGATGTGGCCGTGTCTGATGTATGCCAAATGCGGCCCCGTCTACATCTGTATGGGAATAATCTCAGGATATTCCATTGCCCAGGCTTGGCTGGTGAAGATGCTGTGTAGCAGCCGCTGACGCTGGATGCAGTTGGGTACTGCACGAAGCAAAGCAACGGGAGAGCTCACCATGGATGGCGGGGAACATCCCTTGCCAGTGGCTCTATAGTGGTCCTGGATGGTCTTGCATCCAAATGTGTGCGGGGGAGCCTGCCCTGGGCTGCGGGAACGGCCACTGGGCTCCCCGCAGCGTGGCCGAGGTGAGGACCTGGCCTGCTCCTGCCTCCCCAGGCCATGGAAGTGATGAGGAAGGCGACTGGAATTCCCTTCCGGAATCACCGAGCCACCGCGCCAGGAAAGGCAGCCAGCACTTCCAGGGAGGAATTCCCCCCGGGGACCTGACTTCCCCCTTCTCTCACCCTCCCGTAGTCAAAGCCTTGGCTGCAGGAAACAAGGTCCCCAAGTCCTCAGTGTGCACGGGCTGAGCCGTGCACTGTGCTCAGCGACGAGGTCTTGAGCTGCAGGGTCATCAAGAAGGCTCTGCTTTTTGGCCCCCAAACATGGTCCTGTGCAAGGGCAGGAAAAGCGCATTTGGGGCCACCCTACAAGCAGCCGGCATGAGGAAGCTGAGCATTGAGCAGGAGTGTGTCCATGACCGGGACAGGACTGGCGGGGACTGCACAGCCCGGCAGCCCCTGCGGTGACGGCGGCTGCACAAACCCCCGCAGGTGCCTCTGGCCAGGGCCCGACTCGCATCCCCGTGTGCCCTGACGGGAAGGAGCCTGGCACAAAGTCAATACCTGGCACAAAGTTTTCTTAACTTGAAGTCTATGCTGAGCCCTAAGGACTCGCTGATGGGGACAGCCTGGCAACCTCGAATCCCTGCCAGCCTCCGCCTTGACTTAGGCGAAGAAAAATGCATTTCGTTCATGCCACAACCACCTTTGCTTTCTCATTTCCTGCCTGTGCCATGATTCATCCCAATGCTGGTGCTTGCTGTGGAATGAAATGCTGTTATTTTACGCTTCCACTTCAAAGGAATGGAGCTCGGCGAGAGCAGATTATGGGCTGCAGTTAGGCCCTTTCCCTCCGCGCGGGAGAAGCAGAGATGTGGCCACACGGCCGCCCTTGCCGCCTGCCACCACTGGTGGCCTCTCAAGCCTCGGGAGGTAGGACAGCTCCTGCCACCCCCAATGTCACCCGCAGTGGTGGCCCCTGCCCATGGGGCATGCGGAGCAGCGGAGGGGACGTGGCAGTGCTCTGCTCTCAGGCTCCAAAAGCATCCTGGCAGCTGGCCACCTTTTAGGCCACGTGGTGCTGTGGTCACAGGTCACCAAATGGCTCGGCCAGGGGAGCCAGGAGCTGTGGATGCTCTGTTCTGGATGAAAGCAGATGGAAGGAGCCCTCGGAACCAGCGTGGCCAGGAGCGCTTGGAGAGCAGAAGCTGCCTGGGCAGGCATTTCACTGGCCCGTAAATGTCACACTTGAGCCAAGAGCCCCTCGGGCCCTGTTAGCAATAACATCAATGCCTGGCAGTTAACCGGGATTAGGGGAGGAATTTTGCAAACACGCTGCCGTTATAGGGTGGAGTGTTTTGAGTCTATCCATGGTCTGAGAGTCACCAGCCAGCAGTGCCCAGAGCTGCAGGACTGACCCAGGAGACTTCTCCACCTCCCCGCAAGGTCTCCGCTGCCATGAAATGGGGCTCTGTCTCCCCCATTTCCATCTCTCCTCCCAGGGTTGTCATAACCTGGGTGACATTCCTGAGAGCTTAATGCTCCTCGGCACTGCCTGGCCTAAAGACATTACGGCAGAAGTCCCTCTGGGAGGCCAACTGGGTTGGAGGGACCCAACAGCTCCTGGGCAATAAAGAAGAGGATTTGTTTCATGAACTCCTCTGGTTTAATGATCTTACGGAGGCCAGGTGGCTCAAGGCTGGTGCATACCACTGCCCCATCAGTGTAAGCATGACAGTCTCCTCCACTATGTACCCCAAACCAAGGTTGTCCCTAGGAGCCCAGCTTGCAACGTGTCACCTCAAACCGAAGTCCATGGGTCCAAACTTGCTGAAATGGACGAGGGAGGCAGCATCTGCCGGGCTCCCCCACCCATCCCTCAGCCTTCCCAAGCAGCAAATGACCCCCTCAACTAAGGTCATAGAATTTTTGGTCATCCTCCACGGCGGCAAGAACATCCTTAAACTGCGAGACGACGCGCCCAAAGTGAGAGCCTTCCCAGAACACCTTCCCGCAGCGCGTACAGCAGTAGAAGCAGGTGAGCTCGGCTTTGTCCAGGACCCCGGGCGGGATGGCGGAGACCTGCAGGGCCGTGCCGTCCCTTCGGACCTTGGCGGGTGGCCTGCAGGGACAGGAGACGGAAAGTAAATCACTGGTGTGTTGAGTGGGGTTTGTGCTCAGCACAAGCTCATCCCATGGGAGCAGCTCTTACGCGTGCAACTCCCTGTGGTCCTTGCAGGGAGTACAAGCTCAGCTCTGCCTGGCTCCACAAGGAGCAGAGTCCTATGAATATGGGAGAAGGCGACCACAAGCACCCACGCATTGCCCTGAGCACGGTGCCAAGGCAGGTGCCTCCCCCTCCCCAGCAGCCTGCCCCACTTCTCCCACATTCACACAGCTCTTTTGCTGGCTCTGCGCAGGGGGATGTGGGCGTGAAGTCCCTGTGCAGTCCCCTCCCTGCCACGCAGAGGCAACCTGCATCCATTCCCAGTCGGAGCACTGCCACCAACAACCTGGAGCCGTGTCCCACGCTGGGAGGCGAGGGGTCCCCGTGCCCCCCTCAGCCCGGCCCGGCACTCAGCCTGCTGGGGGCTTCTGCTAGGACCAACGCGTCCGACTGCCTCGAGCCGACTGGACGCTGCCATCGCAAGCAAAGTGCTGTGGAACCCACGGCATTTTGGGCAGCTCGGTGCGGGTTCTCACTGCTCATGGCACTGTAACTGGGGCCCAATGGATTCCTGGGATCTGGAAGGCGGAAGCTGTGCGCTCCGTTACTGTCATCCATCAGGAAGTCTGGCAGCAAGTGACACAGGGAGGCAGCCCGCAGTTACTACTCTGGGATGACTCATTTTTGGCAGGGGGAGCGTGTCCTGCCTGGGCATCAGCTAGACAACAAAAGGCATCTTGCATCTTTCCAGCAACATCTCTGAGGCTCTCAACCTGCCCTTGAGGAGGATAAGAGGGAGCTTTGTCAGGCCAGAGCCTTGTGGGAGGGAAATGAACCCAGCAGCTTGTCTGGCTCTTCCAGCCGGATCCCAAAGCCTTCGGGGGCTGTGCTGTGCTGTGAGTTATGGCTGGGGAAGGCAAGGTTGAGGCTGGGGATGTGGAGGTCAGGAGGCAGGGTCAGCAGTGGTCCCCAGAAGCCCACCCACTTGGCCAGGAAGGCCTTGGAGGCTGGAGCCTGCGATTCGACCCTCTAGGGAAGCTTTTCAGGAAAATTCCCAGGATTAGAAACCTCAGGGCCCCAGGCATGCAGTGATGAACCTCTCTACAAAAATCCTACACAGCTGCATGGGGGACACGTAACAGGACTGGATCACCTGCCTCGCTGTATGGCACGGAGCAATCAGGACCTTGTAAGAGCCATCCTGTCCCCACAGCCCCGCGTGCTGCAGAGTCCCATGTGGAACAGGCTGCAGGATGCTGCCTCACCCCCTCAGATTCACACAAATCACAACCAAAGTCCATGTGCACTGGGGCAGCCCTATAGCCTGCAAGGTCTTGGTTTTGCTGGCTCTGGTCATGCTGCATCCTTGGCTCACAGCACCCAACTCCCACTCCCTTTGCACCTCTCCCTGAGGATACACTGACATTTTCCTTCCCCTTCATGGGAGCAATATGGGCTGATGTTAGACACAAGGAAATGCAAAATCTTTTCATGAGGGAACCTCAGAGCAACAGGAAACCAGCAATGATGGTGGTTCCCAAAGCATCCAAAGCAGTGGGACATGGCCAGCCCCCCATTCCTGGCAGACAAACAACCATGCTCGGTGTCAAAGCTTCAGCTGGAGATATTCTGAGTGACACTGGCCTGCAGGGTTTTGCAGGCAAACAAGCAACCCAACAGCCATGCAGGGTTGGGGACTGCTCACATAAGGTATCAGAAACCAGCTTGGAACCCAGTCCTACTCACTGGCCCTCAGCAAAGGCTGGATTTATCATCACTGAGCTCTGAGCAAGTGTCTCTCAGTAGCCCCCAGCCTTTGGTTGAAGCTCTGAGTCTCTTTGGGGCACTAAAATCCATTCCTGGAGAAAATAACAGTGACCTCAGTTTCTTATTTTTTTCCAAATTTTTGCATTTGTTGAAGAATGTGGGTGGTTCCCAGAAGATGCCTGAGCTGCCCGAAGTGGGAGCCCTGCTCCTTTGGAGATTTCTCAGGGTCCCATGCAGGTTCAGGAAAGGGCAGCTCCACAAACTGGAAAAGCTGTAAAGCTTTTGCTCTTGTTGTCAAGGTTGTCTCTTGAGCAAAGCACCAGTCATCTGTGCAAGCCTTAGCTTCAGCAATGCTACGACTCTCCAGTGCTTCTCCTCAAGGCTTTTGCTTGTCAAAGGAGGGTAGTTCTGTGCAGTGCTTGGCTTGGTGTCTTGTTCCCTTCTAATTCATTTTGGCATAGGAGGCACAGTGCTTTGCTTTAAGAAAAATCTAGTTGACCAAGTGCTTAGAGAGCTACTGCCTGGCTGGTTGTCTTCTCCATCACGGGCTCTGCAAGACTTTGCCTGTCCCTTGCTCAGAGCCTGTTTGTGGCTTATCGGTACTGCCAGATGTAGCACCTGTGTGAAAGTCCTGCTAGCCAGAGGCCCGTTCAGCTGAGCCCTGGGCGGCTCTCGGTGCTCTGGTGCCCGCACCGGGACTTTCTGGTTGTTGAGCCTTGATGCTTTTGCAGGAACGACTGGTGATTTGGACTTTCTTTGGGAACTCTCCATGCATCCACCACGGTGCAGCCCACAGCAGCACTGTCCTCAGGTCTTACTGGTGGGCAAAGCAAACTGGAGACATTCTCATCCTGGGTATGTGTGAAGTCTTTGCAGCCCCCAACCACCCCCTGTCCCCTCCCCTGGTAGGTGGCTCGTGAGAAACCGGCAGGCAGGGAGGAAAAGTTCATCTCTTAAAAGCATAGGGAGAGAAAGGCCGTGGTAGTCACCCAGTGTTTTGCCTTTAGGTTGCACCAGCCCCCTCCTAATTGTGGTGCTTCAAAGGGTTGAAAATGCTACATCACTTCAAAGTAACAATTTTTGAATGGGAGCTTGTAAAATTCCTCTCCCCCTGCCCCCCTCCTCTGGCCGGATTCTTTTCAGGGCTTTTGAAGATGCCTCTGCTCCTGTTGCAGCGCGGCTCAAAAGGCTGCTGGGCGCCAGGCGCAGGGTGCCCACCAAGCACAGAGTCTTAAAGGGGTGAAAGAACTCGCTGTGCAAAGGTCAGGTCCTCGGCAGCTCTGCAGAAAAAGGTTTGCTTGGGAAGACCGTGGATGGAATGGAGAAAGGGGGAATTTCTTTAAGGAGGGTCTTTTTCCCTCCCTCTGCTCCACTTCTCCCCTTCTTTCCTCGTGTTCTCCGAGCAGAGCAGACTTGGCCCCATTGTCTGAGCACTAAAACACGGGGTGGCCCCAAGACAGAGCCCACAGTGCCCCATGCTGTCATGAAACAGGGGCCTCTTGCAATACACGGCCCCAAAACCAGGCTTATTTTGCAAATCCAACCAGCCTCAGCCCCCGCACACGCACACCCATGCGCTCGCGTGCCGAGGCCGCTCCTGCAGGGAAGCTCCCACGAGCTGTTCCGGGCATCCTGGCAGGGTCAATCCGCT